GAGGAAAGCTCGAAGGCAAAAAGGAATACTCTAGGAGCAGGAGGTTAGGGTTGAAGTGCTCTCCATCATGCGGTTAAATCTCCTTCATCTGAGGAACCGGCTTTTCATCACTCCATGGCTAGAAAGGAGTGTCCTTTCCTTCTCCTTCTGCCCATTTTCGGCGAACCAAACGGCTTCTTACGGCAGCAGAAGCAAAGCAGGTGGGACGAATAAAAAACGTCCCACCGTATTCCACAAATCGATGATGTTCGGAAACCATCTGCTTGTGGACGGAGAAATGGACGAAAACAGGGTGCTTTCACCCTTGTCCTTCCAAGTGGTGCTCAGCCTCCTGGCCGCTGGCTCCGGCGGCTATACCCGCCGTCAGCTTCTCACCTTCTTCGACGCCGATTCCGTCGATCAGCTCAATCACTTCGCCTCCCGAATTTCCGAGGACATCATGGCCGATGGTGATCCCGCCGTCGGCCCTCGTATGCGTTGCTCCAATGGCTTGTGGCTTGACCAATCCCTTACTTTGAAGCCCTCTTTTAAACAGATTCTAGACTCTGATTATAGAGCCGCTCTGAACCCGGTGGACTTTCAGACCAAGGTAATGTTCCGTCATTTTTTAACTCAAAATCACAATATCTTTAATTAAATGAAATTAAAATTTTATATTACTCATAGCATCGTCAGGTTCTATTCCATGATGGTATTGACTCCCTGCCATATGTCAACTTCCTTGAGTTTCATGCCTAAAAGAAATCATCTCATTAATTCTTATATTAATTGATGCAGATATGTGCAGCCCGTTTATATTCTTCTTAAATGTATAATCAGCCTTTTTAATTTGTAAAAATTAGCATGAGTTCCCTGTTTCTTGCCGCAAGGCTTGAGGTGCTTGTTAGCTCGATTCACGAGTTTGAGAGAATACAAGGATTTCATGTGTCTCTTGGAGTATATTTTTATTTTCTTATATATCCAGGATAAACAAGGAAATTAAGGTAATCAGGAACGACAACTTGTTCGCTTGAAGTGCTTCTGAAATGGCTATAATTTCTGCAGGCTCCTAATGTGAGGCAGCAAATTAATTCCTGGGTGGAAAATGAGACAAATGGCCTGGTTAAAGACCTTATCCGTGAGGGGTCTCTCAACAACTCAGTAAAACTCGTCTTTACAAATGCATTATACTTCAAAGGAGCATGGGATGAGGATGAAAGTCCACCCCTTCCAAGCACAGAGGATCGACGGAACGAAAACTTCACGAGGGTTCCCTTCATGATTGGGAAGAGGAGAGAATTTGGTAGATGGTACGACGGTTTTGAAAGGTTCTGTCAGGTACATAAAAAGCAAAGTGAAGATAGGCGCTGTTTCAGCATGGCTTTCTGTTATCCATTGACACTACATGATGGGTGTATAGCCCATGTTACTGAAACCGTAATGGATGTACGTGACCGCTCCACCCCAAAATTTAGCTGTTCTTCCGAGGTGGAAGCTTCTAGTATGCTGAGGGGACTACGGGTAACATTGCCATTCTCCGGAGGAAGGTGGAAAGAGATGTTAAATTCTTTTACTGGTCCAAAGTTATATGTTTTCAGCATATTGCAGAAGTCGTTCATGGAAACAAATGAACAAGGGACTGAAGCTGCTACAGCCACCACCGCAATATTAATGTCTGGGTGTCCTGCATGTTTGCCCCATGTACCTAAAATGAAGTTTATAGACCGCATCCCATTCCTCCTTTATGCTGGAAAAGATGAGTATGGAGGTATTCTCATGGCTAAAATAGATTTTTTCATTATGCAGGTGGTCAATCCTCTTCCAATATAGTGTTCCTATTATGTGTCAGCATTATGAGTTGTAATTTAAATGTTTGACTCTCTTTAGTTTTTTTTTTTTAATCGCACACTCTTATTCGATAATTTAGATGTTTGACTCTCCTTTGATACTTTATAAACTTCAAAATTTGGGAAGGGATGTGGGTTTATCTTAACCATTAAAATATGTTTTCTAATTTTGCTCTTAGTTATTGCTTCTCTCTCCTTTGCATATTCTTTCCTATCACAATTCGTCAATTCCCCACATATTCTCTTTCATTATTTTTCTCATTTATTGTAAGAACATATTTCAAAACAAAAGTATATTTTTAACTTATATATTATATTTAACTAATTTTAACTAATTATTCGATCTTTATGAATTAGTTATTTGAAATTTATAATAAATATCGAACATAGTATTTACAATAAGGAATAAACCAAATGACTCATTTTAGGTGAATGTGGAGCGCTTAAAATAAGCAGCACCAAACAAGCACAATATCAATGTGTTATATCATCAATATCATCATCAATTCATTCAATATTTAATATACTATGAATACCTCTTCCACCTAGCTAATACAAAAGCAGCTTATCCTTAGTTTAAGACACAAAATACTGTTCAGAAGCATGTAAGTATAAAGATATGTATTCCACCAGCTTGCAGTTAGCCGAAACTCATTAATTGCGTGCTTGTGGCTTGCTGCTCGGCTAATTTTCGGATTGTTAGCCTCAAAGATTCAGCACCGCAGAACATAGAATCAATAAGCACAGAAACATGAAGAAGGAGAAGAGGCCAAGCACTAAGAGAGAGATCTATATTTGCTTCCCTGCTCTAGGGCCGTTCTTGATCTCTCATATATAATGGAAAGGCAAAGTTTCATTCAAATTCAAAATCCAAATTGTTTAATTGAGCAGATCCCTCCGTCCCTCATCAAATTAAATAATATAAACTAAGACCCTAGAAGAAATTTCAGAGGGATTTGCCGGTTAGTTGCTCAGACAAAGAAGGCAAGGATGAGTTTCTTGATCTTTATACATTTGTTTTTAAAATTTTTATTAATTAAAAAATCTGAATTTGAGCTGCTAATTGTGTGTCACATATTTTCAATTCTATTCAAATGATTTCTATTTTAAATACTTTTATACATAATCAGAAGATAAATTTTATAGGACTGTGGAAAACACAGCCCTTTGCACTTTTAAGTTTTAACAAAGAATCAAGCACATAAATGTTGAATGACTCTTCTTTCTTGTTTTTTTTTTTGGGCCTGAATACCAAATCACTGGTTTAATTGCCAACATCAACTTATTCTTTAATATTCACTTGGAGCTGTGATTGGAATTGTCTTAGGATTAGCTCTACACTCAAAACATTGTTCATAAGGATTTCCCAGCTTGATTACAAAACATGTGGCTTTGTGCAAGCCAAATTAGGTACATCCCCAAGCCTTGGGCTTAATGTTAGCCCATTTGTAGTGACATCGATTGCAGTTATATTTCAAATTTGAAATTAATGTGTGATCACCTTTGCATTTCTCAAAAATCCAAATTATTCAGACTCATAAGCTTCTTGAATCTTGATCAGCATAATTTTGACAACCACGTGTTATATTCAAAGGCCAAGGAAGTATATAGTTTGATTCTAACAAAAACTTTAATAATGAAAACTAAATATAAGTTAATTTTTTTAATCAAATTAACAACACATCTAATTTTGCGCTACATAAGTATCTAAAAATAAAATCTCAAAGACTTCTTTCTTTACAACATCTGATTTTGAATTAGTTTGATTCTCTTTTAGATTAAAAATAAATATTTTTTTGATTGCGTAAAAATAAATATTTTTAAATCCCATCCATTCTGCATACAGGACTGAGTGTGATACAGACTTTCATGATCATGGCAAATTCCAACATAATACTATAAAATTATGGCCTTCTAATAATACTTGGTTTTTCTCATCTTTTATCTTATCAAAAGAAACCCACACATCCAGTATACTTATAAAAAATTGAACACGCAAACTCCTTATAATAATTATTGACATGCGTGTAAATGAAAGCTATGTCAGGTTCTTTTTGTCCTGAGTTGTCTGGCTAGGAATAAGCACAAAATGTTCCAAGAGTCCTCTGTGGATTTCATTACAAATTAAAAATTTCTCTTTCATACGATGCATGAATTGAAATATTTGATTAGATTTTAAATTCTAATAAATTACAGTATTTAATGTAGCTCAAGATTTACTTCTTATAGGAGTACTAACTCCGGTCCTAATTATAAGATCTTGTTTATAGTCTACAAATGAGGTCTTATAATTAAAACTAGAGGGAGTATTATTTTTTTATTCATTCAAATGGGATTTGAATTAAGGACGCAGATCTAGGAGAACATATAACAATTTAAAATTATTTTTTATTTCTTTATTTAAGCCCTTAATTGAGATACTATTTAATATGATGCTTCCCATTTAATTCAATATATTCAAATCCTAATTAAGATATTACTCAAATTTAAAATTAATTATTAATTTTTTTTTCATTTGAGTCTCTAATTAAAATCTCATTTAATAATGAGACTCCTCATTTAATTCAATATACCCAAATTCCAATTAAAATATTATTCAAATCTCATTTATTGAATATATTCAAATCTCATAATATCATATCTGATCCATTTTTAAATGAATTGGATATTACAAGTTTTCAAAGATGTAGTTGATTGATAGTTGATGACGAGTCTGTATATTTATTTATATAATTTTATTATTTTAATTATATATATTTGATTTTTTATGGAACTTTCTAGATTCTCAAGCTAATAGAGTTTGATAACATTTTAGAAATTGCAAATTCTCCCAAGCAGCCAGAGAGAGTTATCGTGTCTCTATGTATATAATTTTTGAAAATGATATGATAATATTAATATTATAAAATTCAATGGACATCGCGACATTCTGAATTGTCGTTTTACTGCCCAATAGGAGTGAGCCCAGAAGAACCCAATAAGGAAGTTGGTCCGTAACAAAACCTTAAACAAACAAGAAAATAAAAAGAGACCAAATTTCTAATTTTACGGCCCTAGAGGGTACGTGGAATGAAAACAATCATTGCCCCCCCCTTAGTACTCTAAAACAACGCACCAAACTCGAAGACGGAAAAAACCTAGGAACAAGGGTTTGGGTTTGAACTGCTCTCCATCATGCGGCAAAATCTCCTTCATCCCAGGAGCCGGCTCTCCATCACTCAATGGCTGGAAAGGAGTTTACTTTCCTTCTGGCCAGTTTCGGTAAACCAAGCGGCTTCTTACTGCAGCAGAAGAGCAGGTCGGAAAAATCAGATGCCCTCTCCCATAGATCCATCCGCGATCTTCGGAAAGCATCTACTTATGGACGAAAAACTAGAAGAAAACAGGGTGCTTTCTCCTTTTTCCTTTCAACTGGTGCTCAGCCTCCTTGCCGCTGGCTCTGCCGGTTTCACCCGCCGTCAGCTTGTCAAGTTCTTCGGCGTTGATTCAGTCGGCCGGCTCAATCGCGACGCCTCCCAAATTTGCGGCCCCATCATGGCCGATGCCGCTGTCGGCCCTCGTATGCGTTGCTCCACTGGCTTGTGGCTTGACCAATCCCTTACTCTGAAGGCCTCTTTTAAGCAGATTCTAGACTCTCATTATAGAGCCGGTCTGAACCCAGCGGACTTTCAGGCCAAGGTAATGTTCCGTCACTTTTTAACCCCAAATCTAAAGTGTCTTTAATTAAATCAAATTTAAATTTTATAATTTGTGCAGGCTGTTGATGGGAGGCAACAAATTAATTCCTGGGTGGAAATGAGACAAGTGGCCTGGTTAAAGACCTTATACGTGAGGGGTCTCTCAACAGCTCAGTGAAGCTCGTCTTTACAAATGCACTATACTTTAAAGGAGCATGGCGTGGGGAATCACTTCCATGCCTTTTAAGCAATAGCCAAGAGGAGCAAGAAGACTTTGATTTAGATCCCTTCTCGGCTGCCATGAGCAAGGAAGAATTTGGTAGATGGCACAGGGGTTACACAATGCTTATTCAACAATTTAAAAAGCCTAGGAAAGACGAGCGCGATGCCGAAATGTTTTCTGTTTCCCAGGGATAGACGCTGAAGATGGGCGAAGAAGCCTTGTTCGTGAAACCTTAATGGATGCAGGCGGGCACACGACCCCAAAACTAAATATTACTTCCGAGATGGAAGTTTGTGATGCGCTGAGGGGACTGGGGGTGACATTGCCATTTTCTGGAGGGAAGTTGACGGAGATGTTAAGTCGTTTTAATGGTCGGAAGTTATATGTTTTGAGCATATTTCAGAAGTCAGTGCTTGAAATGAATGAACAAGAGACTGAAGCTGCATCAGCCAGCACCGTGATTGTAACGTCTGGTTGCCCACCATCTTTGCCGCCGGTACCTACAATACGCGCGGAACCTGGATACCCCTTCTTCCTTCATGGAGGTCTTCTCGCCGCTAAAACAGACTCGGCGTTTATGGCATTATGTCCTTAGTAATCATTATGTCACGAGTTGTTGTTTAAAAATTTGACTGTCCTTAGCATTTGTTATTTTTATTTCAATTTCTCAGATGGAGGAAGGATCTTGTCACCTGCTCTATATTTGGCCTACAGATGCGGTGTGTGTGTGTGTGTAGATACACACACGTATATTGAAATAATAAGGGCACAGTACAAATAAGTAAGGATAAATCCAGACAAAAAGATCCCTACTTTGAAGGGGTGGATCGTTGAGGATTCTGACATCAACTCTCTCTTGCTCCGCCCGATGAGCAAAATTTTTTTTCCAATGAAAACTGGAAATCTAACCTTAAACAAAACAGAATCACCCTCTTTTATCAATTTCCACCTCTCCATTTAAGGTTGGTTATTAATCAAAGAGGAACCAAGAATTATCCAACATACCTGCTAATTTAGCTAACATATCCACTGCGCCAATATGGTACAACCCTCTCAAAATTACATTTACAGCATCAATGCAGTCACAATGAAGAGCTATAGTCCTCTGGTTTAAAAAAAAAAAAAGGGCTATAGCCCTAGAGCCTTTGGTCCTACGAAGATTTAGACCTTGCACAATTCCAAGAAGCTCGGCCAAACAAAACATTATATTTCGTTTTTATTTTCAAACGAAGTATTATTTTATTTTTAACTTCTCCCCAAAAAAAAAATGCATTTAAAAAGAATTGTTACATTAATTGAAAAGCGAATGACATTTTCACTCAACCATACATAAATTGATAAATATCCATTTTTTTCAGACCCGTTGTAATTTGCTCCCTTACCTAAGCACCTCTTCCCACCTCTATAACCCTGCGAATGATGTCAAGTCACACTTTGTTGCTTGAAAATCATCAGTCTTGTGAGAATTCGATCAAGGAAAATGTGAGACGGGTCCTGGTATTATGCTAAGCTGCTAACATTAATCCAAATTAAATGAAACAATGTCATAAAATTTATAGACTCAAGCAATATATTTATTGCTCTACCCTGAAACTTATTAAATCACTGTTTAAAGTTATAGCAGTATAAATTTGTGCTCTATATGTGTAATGGAATTTTTGTGCCAAATAATGTGAGTATTTCGCCAACACAATCAATATTCTTATCGGTTAATTAAAATCTCCGTCTACTTCTTGGTTTTTTTTTTATTTTAAAAATAAGCAAACATCAATTTTTATATTGTCATGCCTGGCTAAGCAAAACTGATTACATGATTAGTTGTACTAATTCACAATGAAACTTATCATGGGGCATTCCTGACTAAGAAAAAGTGAATAGTTATTTTCTACACAAATCTAGGTAACAACTTTGGTTGAACTAATTCTATAAAAGTTGTGGAACTTTTTCATATGATCAGCAATCATTCCCTTCTGCTTGTTTCTTTTTTCTTTGGCTAGAGCGCAAAGCAAAACCAGTGTTGATCTACAAGTGCTGGTCCCAAAATCAAGTCACAATCCCCAATGTTGTAACCCACATATTCCTCCTGTAGTTCCTTCTTTTTCACTGCAACACTCCACCTTGGCCTACAAAGTTTGAACTACAAAATATGACACTATAAACATATTGACATAAACAATCGCTGAAATAAAGTAATGTTACAACAACCTTACCATAAAGTAGGCATCAAACGTGTGTCATCCAACTTGCCCACCGCCCTCTTTTATTTCTCCCATCAGCATGCAGCACACCATTGACATGACCTGTTCACACATGAGAAAATTAGTTTCAGCTTGCACAACATCTATTATAAACGATATCTTATTAGATGGAGATTTCATTACATGGTTACTAACTCTATGCATTCCGTCCAATGACCTTAGATCATCACGAGCTACATAGAAGTCATACAAATTAACCAACCTCCTCCAGGTCAAGTACACATTTTGCTTATATATAGAACTAATATTAACTTCCTAATTAGCTCCTAAAGCAGTATTATATATGGAAAAAAAACCTTAATTAAGACACGACAAATAATATTTTAAAGATGGTAAAAGATAATTTTTTAAATATCAAATGTACTTCATAATTTCACAAAATTTCAAAAGAACATTCTAAATTATACTTGGTTCTTTAAGATCATATCGAGTTTCATTTCAGTCCATTAAATTGGGAAAAAAAAGGGGGGGTTGTATTTTAACCTCTTAATCCCAACACAATTGGTTTTATTTAAGGGAAAATACTAACTCACAAGTTTAAATGGTAATACTACAAATAAATGCAGACAAAACAGACTATAAATTTGAATTTTTTTTTATATAATCATTTCTATAAATGCTTAAATTTGTATTATTTGAATATTTTAAATATTTTATCATATATCTAAATTCTTAAATTTTTGAATTAAAATTTAAAGTATGTTTTGTTAATATTTAATTGTATAACCGCCTTTTAATTTGCTGAGTTGACTTTAAAAGTGATTAATGGTGCTGCGACCATGAGATTAAAAATATATCTTTTAAATTTAAAGAATTAAATTAAAATCTGAAAGGAATATTAAAAAAATTAAACGCATGCTTTAGCCTAAAATAAAAGTTTAAGCAAATTTTTTAAATATTCATCCCTTTAATTTGCTAAGTCAGCATTTTTTATGTCAAATGAGATTGATTTGAAATAGTAAAAATACATTTTATAAAATTAAGAGAATAAAATGAAAATTATTGATATAAAAGCAGAACACCAGCGTATACTTTGGCTCACCAGCTTTTTTGTTTTTTTTTGTTAAGAATTTCCGTTTATGCAGAAATTAAATATGAAAATAATAATAATAATAATAATAATAATTGGAACTGTTACTTTGAAAAGTTATGTACTTCTTTTTCTTGAAAAAATTAGTCTTTTGACAAAAAAAGGTCTATTCACAATTTTGGTTAACATTAACTCAATATGTTTGTGATACGTGTGTGTGTGTGTGTGTGTGTGTGTGTGTGTGTGTTTATATAGTATATGAGAGGGACTGAGGATATTGCACAGGTGATGATGGACAAAATCCTTGCGGAGTAAAGAAGACTACATTTTTGCCAAAAACGAAAAAAGAGTTTAAATCTGAAATTTCCGGTTATGCAGTACTCAGAATTTGGAGCAGAAAGCTCTAAAGCGTTCCCCGCATGCTTTCAGAATTAACAATCCCATCCAACGGTGAAAATCCCATCAAAATCTGCTTCAACACATCGTAGGCTGCTCCACTTTCCACCCCGACCACCCTCTTAGGTCCATTCGGCCTTTGAGATTTCTGTTCTGTAACTCTCCGCCCACGTCTCTGCAACTTTTGTCACTTCCTCTATCTCTCTCTTTCTGAGCTACAGAACATGAACCACAAGACAGAAACAGAGAGTCACAGGGAAGCAGAAAAAGTGGAATACTTGGTCTTCACAATAAGGATTTGGGAGTGAAAGAGAGAGAAGAGAGGGATTTCAAAATAGAATATACTATCTCTCTCTCAAAATCATAGCCTGTTGCTAAACTTGCAAGAGAAACAACAGTCTTCAGAGTAAGGCCCGGTGAGACAGAGATTTTCAAAAAAGTACCAACTTCGTTTTCAAAATCATAGCTCGTTGCTCGAGTTAGACTTGGAAGAGGAAAGAAAAGAAACCCAAATCATCCAAGCAACACTGCAAAAATGGGTTTTTCTTTTCCACCACTTACTTTCCTCTTCTGTCTCCTAGTCCTTGGGACAGATTATTTATGTCTTGAAAGAATTCCTTCAAGAGTTTTGTAAAAGAAAATCACGTCACATTAAAGATATGAATGTTGTTCAAGTGAGTTTGGAGGCATTTGGGAAGTTGAAATGTTGAATTGTGCATGGGGTGTTTGACCACTGGGCCATATCTTGTTGCCTTCATGACATCTTTTTGGGGAATCACAGTAATAATTAGGAGAAAAAAAGGTTCTTCCATAAAAAAAATGTTGTCTCTACTTTGTACATAGCATACCATCCTATGTGCAAGACTAATTTATTTTCCATGAAAATGCAAAAAACTTACAAGCAGATAAATGCTAAACTTTTCCATGAAAATGCAATCTAAAATGCCATTCCAAAATAAAATTGTTTGGGCAAAATTTTTGAAATTATTAGGTTTTTTGGGGGAAAAAAATTAGACCAGGCACCAATATATAACCATGGGGTTGGAAAAGAGATTGATTTATTGTTGGTAAAAAAAAAAAGGGGTCTGTTTAGATTAGTGATAAAAAAAATTTTATTTTTAATTTAATTTTTAAAAAAGTAAGATTGAGTAATGTGATTTGTGGTTGGATTGGTTTTTATAAAAATTGGTTTGTAAAGTTAAACAATTATTGGTTTATAATTGAATAAGTAAGTTTAATTTGTAGAATGATTAAAATGGGTATGACTTTTATTGAGTAATAAAAAATAATTAAAAATACGAATTTAAGAAATATAAAGATTTTAAATTATTATCACAGGAAAAAGTTATATTTAATAAATAAAATATATTTAAATTAGAAATCATAATAATGTGAAATTTTTTAAACTAAATAATATTATATAATTAATTGGATAATAGATTCTACATAATTTGTGTAAATATAAAATAAAAAACATTAAAAATTGAAAATGAATAATTAAAAAGGTATT